TTCCATCCGCTAGTGCAAATGCACCACGTACAGCTGCCAGTGCTCCGGTATAGATCAGAAGGAAGGGCTGTTTAAAGCGGTCTTGCCCAAGCGACTATATGAGACACATACACCATGCCTTCATTATCATCTTCTCGTCAAGACACACAGGTCCCATCATGGCCTCATTAAGAGCGGATGTCTGTAAATATCGACCAGAGGTAGGAAAAATAAAATTTTTGAAAAATCCCGAAAAAATTATGTAGACTCCCCTAGGTATTCTAGTAATGAAAATATAAATTTTAGTTTCATTGGATAAATATTTTGGCGATACGGCGAATGTCAAGTTCGGGCGATTGACGGCCTCCGCCAGACCGCTTTTTCGGTCCCCTAGACCGGGCTACGAAAAGTCCACGATTTCAATCGAATTCAAATATCATTCAACCCAAAAAGCTTCTTATCGTATTAAAAGGGGTTTAATACACATACTGAGTGGTCATGTTCTTGAATTCATCGCAACTGGAATATTTTATGGATTTTTAAATATTTACAAAATTTTAAGGCTTTTACGCCAGCAAAATATTGTCAGATTTCAAAGTCCTAAAATCACATCCGATACATGATTTCTAACAGAAAAAGACATCCCACGTGAAAAAGCAATCTCTAAGCTTTCAAAATATGCTTTCAAAACTCTGGGCAACATATGAAATGTATTTTTGGGAACGCAAAATTCACATAGCCTGCGTGCAGACGATAACTAAACTCTGATTAGTACCAGAGTTAACCAGAGTTTAATTTCGTCTGCGCGGAGGCTAAATTCACAGAGCACTTGAGTGTAATTTGACCTTTCTGACTCGACAGTCAAGAGGTTCGGAGCGACACAAATCAATCCTCCATCAAATGTTTCAGCCAAAATACGTTTAATTTAGGCAATCTTAAGACACACAGTGATACATAGATGCTTCATATACATTAGGTGGAAAGTTTCATGCCATTTTATCAGCCGTAAAGAACTATTTCTCTGGACTTCAGGTGCAGTAGTTTAACTCGCTTCGCTAATGTAAACATGTGGGTCAAGTTCTTATCACGAAACAGCGAAGTTTTACGTTTTCAAAATCTACACCAACTATCTATCATGTCTAGTATATAATCAGGTCTACAATTTGTTTGTTTGTACCTTGTGTCCTTGTTTGACTTCATTCTCACAATGAAACTACAACGAAATTCCCGCTCGCTCGACATGTCACGTTTCACGTGAAAGGGCCGTTCTAGACTTGATTGCGTTACGTAAACACGACACAGCGATTATTTCTGAGCTGTGAAAAAAATCGATTTCTAACTCACATGTTGCAGGTATGCCAGACAATCTAAATTTTTTTCTCACCATGCAGTTTTACCGATCTCAGGCTTGTGATCCCCGAGCGTTTCTAAGCGCGATATTTACATTACGTGTTCTTTTTTGTTGTTTGTTTTGTTGTTTGTCGTTTGTTTTAGTTCAACACATTTCCCCCGTCCAGGTATAACCTAAGGGACTGGGGACTGGTTTATCGCCGGGGGTGGGGGGCGGAGGATGGGCTAAACAAGGTGAATATTAGCCGATCTCCCGTTTGAATGTTTCTTCCCTGAAGTGATCCCGCGTAATAACTTTTGATGACTTTCACGATCCCCCCCCCCCCCCCC